AATCCGGTGTTAGAGATATCACAGATTTTCGTTTTTATTTATACAATTAACTTAAATTACTGTAACTACTGTGTAATATCGGGACGTATTAATCGATTACAATTAATTGATGATATGATGATTGGATTATATTTTTTTCTTTACAATAATGTTTTCCAATTTTTTTAATAGCGGCCTTCTTTTGCTAAAGACGCGTAAACCTTGACATTTGTATAAAAGTAAAATTAAAATTTAGTAATGCAACATTGTAATAACCATTGGAATTAAGAGGCTGAAATGCTTTCAACTTTTTTCGAATCGCAAACTTTTATAAGAAGCGAGCAATCTGCATGTTCTCTCTTTACATTTGCATAAAAATTAATCGATAAATCGTTGTTTTAGTGATATTAGTGATATTACAATTAAAAAAAAAATGTGTGTAAATTCATCAAAAACATATAATTAATAATTACATATAATATATTTACTATTTTTGAAAATGTAAAAAAATTGTTTAAAATTTATGTTATTGTCGAACAGCGAAAGGTTAAAAATCTTCCTATAGTTTTAATTTCTTGATGCATTATTTTTTGGATCGAATCGCGATGTAGGAATTCGAAGTTTAGAGAAATTTATTTCCTATCGATCGCTCAAATATATTTTTTATTCTTGATTATTCGCAGATTTAGATTGACCTGTCAATGGCCTACCAATGCGACCCGTTTTTGCGAATCATCTCGCATATTAATTGACCTGAATAAATAATAAATGTATATAATAATATATATATATAATAAATGGTCAGGTTTAGTTTTAGCCTCACCTTTCATTTATATTCGACGATTGCTTTTAATCCGCGCGTGCCTGGTTAATGCAATCTGTCATTATCGATTCTATTCTCGCCCATCTCATGAACTGAATATGTACTAATAATCTATTAATTGGTAAACAAAGACAAAAAACAAGAAAATGTATAGGGAGGGGCCGAATTAAAATTGAAGAAATAATAAAATTTATAATCGTCAAATTATCACGAAATAAATCTACTTTTATATCAATAGGCAATTCTACGTTGATTTTGACAAAATCTCAGGGATTTAGCCACGGTAACGATAAATGGTGCGAGTCGATCTTCGAAATACGCACCTTAACGGTTTCAAATTATAGGCCATCGTGTTCTCCGATAGCAAACCGCAGCATAGTTTCATATATGCGCCGTACAAAACGAAATATATCACGTATCGGCAACGATACACCCCGTGGCGAGCACGGGTGAAAATAAAATAGCACAGATATCCCTCTGCAGGGAACCGAGTCCCGATATACTCAAATGGCAGTGAAAGTCCCAATCGTGGCCATATATTGCGGTAAAGCTGGCAATCCTACCACGTGGTTCATTATTGTTGATCCGAATTTAATGCCAAATTAACGCGAATTAACACAAATTGTAGAATTTTTTTGGAAGAAATTAAATTCAATAAATATATTACGATTTTCTACAATAATAAATAATTTTGTAATGCCGTCTCGAGTTTTCGTTTTGAAATTTTAAATTATGAAAATGGAATTTTCGTTTATTATTATACAACGATGAATTTGATATTATATAGTGATTTCATAAATAACGTTTTATTCTTTCGGAATAGCATAGTAAAAAATACGAAATTTCACAAGATTTTGAATCATATTCAGAAGTTATAGAAAATATTTCCTCCTCCATTTTCTGAATAATTATTTTTATGGAGTATGGTTTCGATGGTTCACCGATTTTAGACAATCTTTAGATATATTAAGCTAGATAATTAAAGCTAATTAAAAAATAATAATTCTTTACATATTGATTCGTTATTTAACTCAACACTGTTAATGGTAAAAAAATTGATTGATCAATGATCGATCGTGCAACAGGTCTTTGCCCTCGTTGCTTAGACGTTAACCTGCATTCCAGGAAAACGGAAAACCGTCTAGCCACGTGGCACGTGCGCGCAAATAGCATCGTACACTGGATAAGAAACAGAATCATTAATATCGATGTAACACGAACGACCCTGAACGAAACGATGTGTGACGCGGATGAATATGAATTCGTCCTTCGAGAAGTAAGAAATTGTAAAAGCCTTCGAGGGAACTTTCTATAAATATGCGTTTTCACGATGATCGCGTAATGTTTATGGCATCTTTTGAATTATGGATGACATTATATATGACGAGGAGCGATAAAATTGTTTCGTATTAGATAAAATGCCTTTGACAGTCGTCAAATCAAATTAATCAAGTATGCTCCTTTCAATTTCGTGAAATGAGATTAAAAACTAAAAGAGATTAAAAGAGAACGAATAGGTATCCGTTGAATATATTTAAACAAGAATTTCTTCTTTTATTTGAATAATGTAATAATCGGTGCCTCGAACACAGGTTGGATTCTGAAGGAATAATTGCATTAGAGAGTTGGATTATTGCTCGAATAATCGCACACTCACGCATCATCAGACCTTTGCAAAGTCTTCTTCAACTCTTCGCGTAATAAGACCGCACAAGTTGGCGTATCTTTGCGACGGTTAATTGCATTCAACCTGCACGAACGCACCGCTTCGGTTCACGCATTATCTGCACGCGAGCGTGCGCTAATTCATATAATGCGTCCAATTTTCTAAAATCGAGATCTTTAACAAAAGTTGAAAGTTCTTTTCTCGGAAAAATCAAATATTATTTTTATACTCGAGAGATTTATTACTCTTCACCGGTTACGTATATTATTATTAATATTATTATTATTCTTCGTTGAACGCAATTGTATAAGTGTAATAATAAATTTAATTTTTCTTTCTTCTCTTCTTTTGTTTATTGCTAAATGAAATCGAAATTCGTCGAATAAACTCGATTCGACATATCTTTCGAACTCGTCGTTGTTGATCAGAGGAAGAGATAGAAATATGATATACCGATTCGTAATGGTGAGATGTTTAGAAATGATTAAAACTTAAGATTATAACAACAACGATAAGAATAAGAAAAAATTAAATTAACTAGAAAAATGAATCCAATAAAATTATCGTTATGGAATTTATCGTACGGAATAAAATTTACACGTGTAAAACAAAAAAAAAAAAAAATTGTAATTGCACTATCGTATTTCAGACGTTGTATCATAACGTATTAATCAACGTAGTTTTATAATTCATCTTTTTGAAAAATTACACGTTACGCTATCCGAATTTCTTTGTCCAATTTTTTCTCAATTTAGAAAAACTAAAAATTATTTTCTTAGCTTTACGATATTTATATTTATACAACAGTGTTCGTATGGAATTTCCTAAACTTATTATTATTCGTGTTTTTTTTTTTTTTTTTTTTTTTTATAA